TGTGGATGTTGCCACCCGCTCGTCTGGTGGGAGTGAAGCCCACTTGGTCATTATTAACCAATTGTCCTACCACCAGATATAGTCTATTCGCCAGCACCTTGGCCAGCAGTTTTACATCTACATTGATAAGGGAGATTGGCCTAAAGTTAGAGGTGGCGGGTTTAGGGATCATACAGATGGAGGCAGTGAGCGACTCTTGCCCAAGGGGTACTCCCATGCGGAGAGAGTTAAGAGGGGCCAGGAGGTCCTTTTGAAGTCTGCATAGTAGGCCGCTGTGAAGCAGTCAGGGCCTGGTCACTTACCCCTGGAGAGCGAAGAGACTGCCTTGGTGGACTTCCTCCTCAGTGATCGGATCTTCAAAGGAGGCTATCTGAGCCGTCAAGAGACTGCTAAGATCTAGGCCCAAAGATAACTGATCCGCCTTAGCAATCGAAAATCGATCCTGGGAGGAGTACAGGGTGGAAAGGTTTTGCTGGAAGAGGTCAAGGATTGTAACTGGATTAGAGGTGTGTGTCCCCGTGAGTTCACACTTTAAGGGGTTTAAAAGAGGGGTCTAGTCTCCTAAGTTTAGTGGCCAGCAAGGAGTCCGCCTTGTTTGCCTTTTAGGTAGAATTTGTTGGCCGTGCAGTGAAATTGTTTAGCTGCATGGTCCTTCAATAGTAAGTTGAAGGTCTTGACGAGCAGATTCTAGGTTGGCTCTGTTAGTGGGGGAAGGGTTTAAGGAGAAGACCTGGGAGCAAGTGTTACGTTCAAGTGAGGTCAACCTCTCTCTCTCTCTTGACCCTAGAGGACAGGCTTATGGGCTTCCCAAAAGGTGATAGGAGAAATGTCAGGGGTTCGATTGAGAGACACATAGTCTGAGATGTAGGACGCAAGTAATGCTTTAGAGGAGGGGTCCAACAGGAGCGACTCGCTCAGCGTCCAGGAAGTGGATTTGGCTGTAGGGAGTGAGGAGGGAAGAAGTACAGTGACAGCTGAGTGGTTTGACCAAGGAACTGGTAAGAGATGGGGATGGGGGATGTGGAGCGTCAAAGTATCAAAGAAAATGTGGTCTATTCTGGAGAACACTTTGTGGGTAATGGGTATAGTCAACCTTATGGGGATTGCTCTCTCTCTCTCCAACAGTCCACAAGTAGGATGATTGCAGGTCCCTGAATGGTTTCGCCGAGTACAAGCACGATGGAGATACATTTGATCTGTCTCGGTGAGGAAACAGTACCAGGTTGGGGTCTCAACACATTATAACCACACCAGTGGAGCGAGAGGCAACTTTATCGAGGAGGTCCCTGAAGATAAGTTGGTCTGTATTAGGAGACAAAGGTGACCTCCCTGTCAAGGAGACCTGCAAGAATCAAGTAGCGTCCCAATGGGTCTCTGGTTTCGTAATGACAGATGAAGTTTACTGATCTACTGAAGTCAATGAGAACCCCTTTCCGTTTACAAGAGTTGTTAGCCATGTAGATGGTGGGGAATTGGGAGCTAAAGTACTTGAGGCAGGAGGTTCTCAAATGGTCTCCTGAAGAAAAATATTGGCATGCAAAGATCTGAAAAATCTAAAGGCACATGTGCGCTTGTTAGGATAATTGAGACCCTGAACATTGAGGCTTAGCAGTTTAAGAGACATGGTGGAACATACTTTGAGTTAGCGATAGGTACTCACCTGTTCAGCCCTCAGGGGAGGGTGTTGGAAGATTTAGTCCCATCTGCACAAAGACCAGAGAGGAGAGTGGGAGAGGATACAGTGCTGAAGAGAGTGGGAGAGAGGAGAAGAGGGGTGGGCGAAATAAAAGACAAGACGGAACAAAAAACATCACAAGTACATAAACGAGGCGTGGAAAAAATCCACGGTATGTCAGGAACGTTGGGCAGAGGGGTACAGAGGATCGCCGTCTACCCAAGGTTTCCATGTTGTGGAGGGCACAGTGACATGCCAGCCCAGGTAAGTTATAAAGCAAGAATGCTGTAACAAAATAAACTTGTAACTTGGGGACCAGAACGAAAGTTCACTTAACATAAGGTTGGGAGGCTGATCACCTAAAACGGGCTACAGGAATCATGGGGGTGGGGGTAGGTATATTATGGAAATTATACAATGCCAGTTGGTCACATTCCGGACCCATACATAGATAACCAAGGCTAGCTGTGGTGGAGGCTATAGTGAGGAGGAGGTAATGCAATTCGGTCAGCTATCAGGACTCAAGTGGGTGAAGCATCCACCTGTGCCGTATTGCTAGTAGGGGGGAGAGGCCCCTGTGCGATGTGGCCATGGGGGACAGGTCAGATTGTTGGCGGAGGGGGAGAGATAGGCTTGACTAGGGCATTGCGGAGGCACAATGAGTAATATATTTAAAACTAAAAGTAACGGAATGACCCAATAAAAATGATATAACATTAGGAATATAACTGAGATGTGGGAATCGGGGCCTCAGTTCTCCAAGTGCCGCTCACCTGTGGGGTAGGTCGGTAAGAACCAGGCGTTGGATTAGAAGGGGCAGGGGAACAAAGGTCCTAGGCATCTGGGCCCATCAGATACTTGGCGAGGACAGTGAGGATCTCCGCTATGTTCAAATAACAAGAAGGTGATAGGGGCTCATAAGGCACTTAGAACAGGAATGCATGCTCCGTTGTGGGGCCAGATATTATTGAAGATGATCGGGATGGTAACGGGCCCGGGTGGTAAGTGTCCGGTAGGTAGACGGAGCTCAGAGCAGTTTGGAAGAAGGGAAGGAACGCAGCGGATCCCTGAGGAAGGTCAGCCGGCATCGGTGGTCTGAAATTCCAGAAGTGTTTCATCAATGGTGTAGTCAACAGAAGCAGGAGGAACATCACTCCAACAAGAGGAGCATTGAAGACATGGTACAGCCTTGACAGATTTGGCGACCGTTCAGCGCGGTGGGGTAGATTTAGATGTCAGCTACAGTGAAAAATCTGGTGTCTTAACAGACCCCTGACATTTCCCTTTTGAAATATAAAAAGAAATTGAGGACGCAGAGTCCTCAATTTTTTCTTTTTCTGCAGCCTCAGCACTAAATGAATGGAAAACACTCGGTACAGAGGCTTCCATTCATTCAGAAACTATTGATAGTAAATAATTTACTATCAACCAGTTTCTGAATGGGGAGAAGCCTCTGTACTGAGTGCTACTCCCCATTCAGAAATGTATTCCCCTGTTATTTAAAAACATTCCCCAGTTATTTAAAAACATTGGAGTGATCAGATGATCACTCCAGTGTTTGTCCTTCTCACTGAGGATCGGTAATATCACTGATATTTACCGATCCTCCGCTCGGCCACGCACACAGACGCTGTCATCCTGAAACTGACAGGATGACAGTGGCTCCTCTCTCCTCCCCGCTTGGCTGCTCTCTCATGCTGCTCGATCATATAGCAGAACCGTAAATCCCACCGACGCAAGGCATGCTGACCTGACCATTTGAGAACAGTTTGGTACCGCCGTATGCCTTGCGTCGATCTGCTCAAATAGTTGCCAGGAGAGGCTCAAGGGAAATGGCAAATAATAAAGGAGAAAGGGGGCACCCCTGCCTGGTCCCATTATGTAATGTGAACGATTCACTCATTACTCCGTTTACTCGCACCTGAGCCGCGGGGTTGGCATATAGCGCTATAATACGACGATACATATTAGGACCAATACCCATGTAAAGTAAAATTGAAAAGAGGTACTCCCAGTCCACCCTATCAAAAGCTTTTTCCACATCAGTAGATAAAAGAGTGTGCTGGGAACACCGTCTCACATATGACATCAAGGAAATAGTCCTCAAAGAATTGTCCCTCGCCTCCCTTCCAGGTATAAAACCTGTTTGATCATAATGTATCCAACTCGGGGTTAACAGGATCAACCTATTGGCCAACAGCTTAACATAGAGTTTACAATCGGTATTTACTAAAGAAATCGGCCTATAACTAGCACATGTGGTAGGGTCCTTACCAGGTTTTGGTATAAATGTAATGTGCGCATGCGTCGTGTCCCTCCAAAAATTTGCCCCTTACCAATATCAGCACACTCCGTAAAACGAGGTATCACAATTTCACTAAAAGTTCTATAATAAAGAAGGGTAGACCATCGGGCCCAGGTGATTTCCCAATGGCCATATGGGCCAAAGCCTTCTTAAACCCTTCGTGACTGACGACGTACAGTGTACGTCGCCAGCATCGGGGCTGTTTAAACAGACTCCCGGCGACTTTTGCCGCCGGGACTCTGTTTAAACTTGTAGAGCCGAATGTCGGCTTTACAACAGAAGTGATCCTGGCGACTTACCTGTCACCAGATCGCTTCTGTGTACCGAAGAAAACGCGCTACACATGTTGGGTATCGCCGCGCACGCCGGAGTGAGAGCAATAATTCTAGGGCCAGTATTTTGGGGTATCTCTAAATTGATGACCTGTGGGGGCTTTTAAAGCGTCTTTTATTGACTTTTTGGGGTACTGCAGTTTTTCGCCGTTTCACGGTCGCACGCAATTTGTAAACTGGGCAAGTTGGGTATCGTTTTACTCGTTGTAACCTCATCTTTTATATTTCATTAAAAAAATGGGTAATTTGTTGTGTTTTGGGGCATTTAATTAAATTTGTCACTAAATTTTGGGATTTAATAATGAGTTGCGCTACTATTGCGCAACATAAAAATTTTCAACTACCACCATGTTATTCTATAGGGTCTTGGCATTCAGAAAATATATAATGTTGGGGGGTTTTACGTCATTTTCAGGCCTAAAATGTGGAATATAACATGGGTGCAAAAAATGAAAAAAGGGCCTCAGTCATGAAGGGGTTAAATTCTCACTCCGTAATATCGTCTTCCAGAGCATGCAGCACAGACTCGGGTAACTTAGGTAAATCTGGAGCATTTAAATGATAAAATGTTCTCTAAAGGATTTGGGAGTTTAAAATTCTCTCGATTTTTATATTTAGTTTTACTGGTCAGAAATATTCCATAGTAATTCTTATATCATGTTGTTTTTTTTTTGTTTGTTTTTTACAGCTGGTGTGTAAAGATTTGCAGCTCCCCTCTAGCAAATTTCAATCATCTGCGGAACTAGTAGCTGTATCTGCTCACACAGGGGATCCCTCATCTGCACAGGTAATTGTCTCTTTGTCTTCCATCTCTGGTGGGAATATAAGCAAAGAGGTACAGAGGAATCTTCAACAGGGTTATAATGCTACAGACCGAACTGAAAACTGGCAAGCACATCTATAGGCCAGCCATATGGAGTAAAACCCATCCCATCCTAAGTATGCTTCAGATTTCACTCGTGTCTTGTAGAATAAAGCATGTCCTTTCTTGGCTCTGTGAAGTTCAAGACCTGAAAATTTGTGTTTTCTTCAGTCCTGCTTGGAATTGCCATGTGGGTGCCTGGTCATGATTTAACCACTGGAATCTCTAGGCCTCTTTCTCTCCAAATTCTCGAGTCCCAGAGTGTGTTTTTAATTTCTGGGTTTTCTCAGTTCCGCACATTAGATCTTTAATTTTTTGTAGTCTGTCCTAATGTTTTATACAAAGTTTTGTGATGTAAAATATCACAATCGGAGGCTATGGGCAAAACATTTAACATTTTCGGGCAGGGGAGTGGTCTGCTAATGACATAGGGAGACACTGTCCTCCGTCCTGAAGCAAGCCCAGCCTGAGTTCACGGCCGTATCTTCATGTCTTACCCGGCGGTTAGACTGCATCGTTATATAGCCGCGAATGGGGGAGAAGAAAAAGCTGCCCGCAGCTCCGACACTCCGGACCCCAACACCTAGAATCGGGACTTCCTTCGCTGCTATTCGGTCATGGTTCTCGCAGAGTGGAAGTGTCAGGAATGCTGCACCTGCATCCCCAATGGCGTCTAGTCGAGACCCTGGTCCAGATACAGTTTGATCTTCTCATGCTGGACTTCAGCCACCAGTCACCCACCTCTACAGCCGGTTCCGCTGCGATCCTCTGGGACAGAGGAGGAGGCGTCGGATCTCGGCCTGCATCTGCGACAGGTGCACCCATGGAGCAGGAGGACGGAGAGCCCGACAGTCTCCCTGCATAGAGCCTGGCAAGAATGTTGAGTAAGACTGCGTGGGCCCAGTTTGTGTTCGTGCTCGGCGCCATCTCGCCGCAAGGGGCTCCGCCCGTCCGGTAAGGGTGATCAAAGTACCCTTTGATCGACAAGGATGTCTGAGACTTCTTGAGAGTCGAGGATGGGGTTTTTGCGGACTAGTTCGACTTTTTACCCCCGCATGGTAGAGCTGAATAAGGGCTGCTAAACCCGCTAATTCAGCGGGTAGAGACAGAGCTCAAGGAGAACACGTCCTCTCGCATCCCTCGGTAGCCACGCCCCCCTGTGCAGTACTTCTTAAAGTGACACTAAACTCGGAAGTTAAATCTTAAAAATACAATTAAGTACCTTAAAGGCAATTGCCACCTTTTTGTAAGTGATTTGCATTTCTTGTGTTAATGAAGAGGTGCAGTGATGTATCCATGTGAACATTTTCAGGACTCACATTGCAGACTTTTTTTTTTTTTTTTAATAAAGGACTCACATTTGAGACTTTTTTTTTTTTTTTTTAATACAAGTTTTATTAGGCCTGGAGCCTAAATTCAAAATTTTCTCCACTGGAAATGAATTCTGACACCAGGGTCACATGGTAATTAGGCTGTAATCAGCTCTACCTTTACACAAAATACACTGTCCAGGGATTCGGGGGTGCTGGTGTGATATTTTCACAATGCTTGCATAGCAAAGAGGCAGAAATTTCCATGCAGATATGAAGAGAAAAGTTCGCAAAAAAAAAAGTAAAGTTTCTGTTTTTATATACATAACTGCATATGCCTGCTTCATGTACACTGGCTGTGCATTTCTGGCAAATGTTTTTTCTTTCACAATGTTTTTTATTATTTTAAGAACATATGTACAAAGCAAACATAAAATCAGTGCACTGACATAACAGCCGTAACCTTCAATAAGCAAAATAACAAAATAAACATAAGTAGAAGCGCAATACAATTTTATATATGGTATAATCAAAGAGATACCAAAATTGAACTTTCAAAGCGTCAACCAAAACGTCTCCAGTATGATCACATCGCTTGACGCTCTTCAAAAATGACAGCATAGAATAAATAACAAAAATGTGTGGTCACCAATCTACCTGAGCAGATAGGTAATGGGGTGGTGAAGGCACTGGATCGCCCTGCAGGAGGATCAGAAGGAGAAGAGAATTAACTATACAAAAAATAAAGAGAAGCTGAAAAATCAGTAAAAGAAGAGATTATAAGAGGAGTAGGTTGAGAGTAGGTAGAGATGCAAGCCAGAAAGCAGCTGAAAAGAGGAAGTGAGAAAAGGATAGGGTCACGGGGGAGTCATCCCAAAAGATGATCCTTCAGAACAAAGATAACACTAAAGTGGCATCAAAATATTGTGGACTCGCGTATATGTCAGCCAAGGCTCAAAAATCAAAAATGTACCGTGGGAGTTTGCCACAAGTGCTGACATCTTTTAATTAAACATAACGTTGGTAATTATTTTTACTACCTGAAAGGCCAAGGAAGCCTGAGACTTCCAAGACTGGGCAATAGTCTGTTTAGCGTCCATAACAATGTGAGTGATCAGGGCACGTTGACCCCTAGTCACCCCAGGTATCGTCTTATGTAATGAAGCCCTGGGATCTTTAAGTAAATTACATCCAAGAGCACTATTAATTAGGTCATATACACAGATCCAAAGTCTCCTGACCTTAGGACATACCCACCCGATGTGACATATGGTACCAGGTATAGAACAACTGCTGTAACAGTTCACAGGAGAAGACGGGTTAATGCGATGTAAATGGGCCTGGATATAATACCATTGGAAAAGGACTTGATAGGAATTTTCCAAAGCTAAAATGTTTTTATAGCAAGAGGCGATGTTATCCCAAATTGACGACCAATCTTCATCCGTGAAATCATATCCTAAGTCTTTTGACCATAAGGACTGATAGGAAGCCTTCCTAGTGTAAAACGAGGCTGATAACGAAGATAGGATCAACGTGATCAAGCCTGGGACATGTGAAAATTCCGACATCAAAGTTCAAAGGGAGAGAGGGTGGGGTAGGAGAAATTAGTGGATAAAGTGTCTCAATTGGAGGTAGCAAAAAGATTCCGATTGAGGTGCATTATGATATGATCGTAAAGGGTCAAAAGACCGAATTCCTGAGTCAGATAAAAAGGAGTGAATGTCATGAAAGCCCGCATTACTCCACCAAGAAAACTGAATATGATTGTCCAACCCAGGGGGAAATAATGGGAAAGGCAGAGAAGAGGAAGGTGAGGAGACGCTTAAGTCCCAGGTCTTCCCAGTATGTAGGGTGACTGGACTTAACCCTGAGGGATGGAAGGCATGTGGAAGCCAAGGCAGATGAGAAACTAAAGTAGGATGACAATCAATTGCACCGAATATGACCCACAAAGGGGTTTCATTACAAGCAGACAAGAGCAAGTGGGGCTATTTGAGCTGTCTTATAATATTTTGGAAGATGGGGACTCCCAAACCTCATAGTTTCGATCTATAAACGATATGCCTGTTAACCCGTGGGCGGGATTGTCCCCATATGAATCGCAGTATATCCCTTTGTAAAATGTGACAGCTGTGGGCTGGTACATAAAATGGCAGGAGACTAAAAAAAAAGCTTTGGTAGCGAAGTCACTTTGACAGTGTGTATTCTTCCAATCCAGGGTATGTTATGATGTAACCATGAATCAAGGAGACTTTTAAGCTTGCATATCAGCCCAGGATAATTAGCCTATTATAAGAAAGAGGGCTGAGATGGATTCCCAAATAGGGGAGGGAGGACACCCAAGTGACTGAATAGTTCTCCTGGAGATAAATTTAGGAGGGGGGAGAAATAGTAACATCCAATGCTTGAGATTTCGCAGGGTTGACAAAAAGGCCAGAGTTTGTCTCAAAACCAGTCAAGGAGGACATTAAATTGGGAAGAGAAATATGGGAGGCTGTAAGAGAAAGTAAAATATAATCTGTGAACTTTGAAAGTTTGAGGATATCCAGCTAAATCCAGTCATTTAATATCTGGATTAGCACGGCATGACAAGGCCAATGGTTTCAGGGCTAGGGCAAAAAGATTCCGAGATAACTGCATCCAGAAGAACCTTACTAGTATCTGGAATGGAGGGGTAGGAGAGCGGGTCAAGAAAGGTGGATAGAAGAGATGGGGAGAGGGTTCCAGGTAAAGTTTGTTACGAGGGGGTAAGTAGAGATCTGGATGGAGGGAGGTCTGTGGATGTGGTATATTTGGATTTCGCTAAGGCTTTTGATACGGTACCTCATAAACGCTTACTTCACAAGCTAAGAGCTATGGGCATAGATGGAAGGGTGTGTACATGGATAGAGAACTGGCTAAAGGAACGGGTACAGAGAGTATCAATAAATGGCGCCCTTTCAGACTGGGCTAGTGTTATTAGCGGTGTGCCTCAGGGTTCTGTGCTGGGACCGATGCTTTTCAACCTGTTTATTAACGACATCGGGGACGGAGTAAACAGCGATATCTCAGTGTTTGCTGATGATACCAAAATTGGGAGGGTAATAGAAACAAACCAAGATAGTATATCTTTACAAGAGGACCTGGATAAAATAGGGGAGTGGGCAACTTTATGGCAGATGAGGTTTAATGTTGATAAATGCAAAGTTATGCACTTTGGGACAAAAAACACGCAAATGGGTTATACAATAATGGGTATGCCGCTAGGGAAGTCTGAAATGGAGAAAGATTTGGGGGTCACTGTAGACCATAAACTCAATAATAGATTACAGTGCCAGGTTGCGGTAAGCAAAGCTAGTAGAGTCCTGTCCTGCATCAAGAAGGGAATGTTTTGCAGGGATAAGTCTATAATTTTGCCAGTTTACACATCACTGGTTCGGCCTCACCTGGAGTATGCGGTGCAGTTTTGGGCACCGGTACACAGAGGGGATGTCCTTGAACTGGAGAAAGTCCAGCGAAGGGCGACCAAACTCATCAAAGAGATGGAGGACCAGAGCTTTGAGACACGGTTACTAAATTTAAATATGTTCACGCTGGAACTAAGGAGATTAAGGCGGGACATGATTTTCATGT